CCACCCCCAACCCTGCCATCGCACCCCTGCCCTCTGCCCCACGGCCCAGCCCAGCCCAGGGCATCCCCCCTTCCCTCCCGCTGCAGATGCTGCTGAAGGGGACCAACAGCTCTGCCATGAAGGAGAAGGATTTCTTGCTTGTAGTCAACAATGGAGAAGAAACACAAAGAAAAACCTTGCTCACGGACGGGTCAGGCAGAGCCTCCTTTGAGCTGGACACCTCTGGTTGGAACCATGAGGTCTCCCTGCACGTAAGTGACCCGTGTCCTGCACCCTGGATTTAGTACGGTTCACGGAGGTTTCCTTACACAAAACCTTCCAGCCTCCCCTTGGCCCCACTCGGTTTTTTGCACCCACAGCATCCTCTGCTAACGATTTCCACATGTTTATTAGCCCTGTTCAGTACCTTGATTGCCTGTCGGACCCCACAGACCCCGTCGCCCTTCGTGCTCCTCCTGTGGTGGGAAAAGGGGCTACGCTCACTTTTGATGCATTCTGCGAGTTCTTCCTCTAATTCCTTATCCCTGCCTTGCAGTTTTTAAAATTTGCTGCCAAATTTCACAATCCTTTCTACCTTCACCATCCGTGCACGAGATCAGATGGTTGTGGGATGCTTTTTCAGATCCTACTGTCTGCCCAACACGTGCTGCTTAGCCATGTCTGCACCTTGCCATCTGCTGGCTACCCCTATGAGTGTCCTTTGGACAAGTCCCATGATGGCATGAAGCTCTATTTTTTGGTGCTGAGCGCAGCTGGATTGCGTTTCTGGGCATGATCCTGCAGGGATGTCACAGCAAAGCACATGCAGAGTCACTTTCCACCCCTCCTGTGCTCTGCTGCTGAGCTGATCTTTGCTATTGAGACCCTCAATTTCCGCCCCTCAGGGTGACCTCAAGGATGACTCTCCAGCCTCGGAGCATGAAGGCGAGAAGTATTTCAATTACCTAAGTATCCATCACTACCTTTATCCCATCTCTTCGGACAGCAAAAGTTTTCTGAAGCTCCGCAGGGTGGAAAAGAAGCTGCCCTGCGGCCAGCCCCAGAAGCTCTGGGTGGATTACGTGTTTGACGAGAAGGCTGTGGAGATCAAGCTGCAGAGCCTGGACGTGGTCTTCCTGGTGAGCCTTCACCTGGGGAGATACGGGAGACTGCACGAAGGGCGGAGCTCAGGGGAGGAGAATGAGGCTGTCTGGGGCATGGGGTTAAGCGTTCCCCTCCAGCAGAAGCCATTTCCAGCTGGCCCTGGGTACGTACTCTTGGGTTCAGGACTCAGAGATGGACCCTGGAGCTGTCGGCTCTGGGGGTACCATTTCCAGCCCTCCTGCAGGAAGCATCTCTAATAATCTCTCCCTCAGTGTCCTCCACGGCTTCCCCTCATCTGCTCATGCCGGTTCCACACTCAGCATTGGTGTCATTGTTCGTATCTCCTCCTCTGCAGGTCCTGGCCAAAGGGACCATCACCACCGTCCTCAGGAAAGAGGTGACCGCAGAGGCTGGTAGGTCCGGAGGCACAGACGGGCTGTGCAGGGCTCTGCTCCCCATGCCTGGTCCTCATCTCCCCTCCTTTCCCACGGACCAGGGCTGAGAGGTTCCTTCTCCCTGGAGCTGCCCATCGGCCCCGAGCTGGCGCCCACGGCCAAGGTGCTGGGCTATGTGGTGCTGCCCAACGGCGAGATGGTGGCTGACAGCACTGACCTCAACGTGGCCAAGTGCTTCCCCAACAAGGTGAGTAGAGGCTGCCGGAGTCAGGGGAACTGCTGTTGGTCTCGGTGGGGAGATGTGGGCGATGAGCCTCGCTCTTCAGCAGAGCCTTTCCTCATGCCCTGCAACTGGCTGGTCCCAGACTCTCCTTTCAGGGAGGGTCTTCCTTCCTCTTCCATTCCTGTTGCTGCTGCAAACCATCTCCTGGCTTTGAATGCAGTCTTCACTTCCCATCCTAAAGAGGACCTACCGGAGAGCTGGGGAGGGACTTTTAACAAGGGCACATAGTGATAGGATGAGGGGGAATGGCTTCAAACTGGAAGAGGGGAGATTTAGATGAGATATTAGGACGAAATTCTCTCCTGTGCGGTGGTGAGCCCCTGGGGCAGGTTGCCCCGAGAAGCTGTGGCTGCCCCATCCCTGGAGGTGTTCAAGGCCAGGTTGGACGGGGCTTGGAGCAACCTGGGCTGGGGGGAGGTGTCCCTGCCCAGGGCAGGGGGTGGGACTGGATGAGCTTCAAGGTCCCTTCCAACCCAAACCATTCTGTGATTCTATCCTCCACTGGTGTTGGGGGTCAGGCTGCGGTACAGAGGTCCTTCCTGGGACCAGCTCCCCTCTCCCCTAACCCAATGGCTTCCCCTCTCCAGGTGAATCTGTCCTTCTCAGAGCAGAGGGCTCTGGTGGGCTCACAGCTCCACCTGAAGCTGCAGGCTGCCCCAGGGTCACTGTGCGCTGTCTACGCTGTGGATCAACGCACGCGGTCCTCCAGTCCCAAGGGCAAGCTCAAGCCCAGCATGGTGAGTCTGGAGTAACCTCAGTCCCGTGCTGGACTGGACTGGCCTTGCTGTTGGGGCATGGGGACAGCAGTTTTTTTCCACGGTTATCCATTTTAGGGGGGGACAGTAGGGACTTTGGGGAAGCTGCCCCTGCAGGATGAATGCCGGGTGTCCGTGAGCCCCCCGTGAGCCCCTGCCACCACTCATGGACTCTGGGGCTTTGCAAGGGAGATAGTGCATAGCTGACCAGGATGGGGCTGAGCCGCAGAACTGCTCTGCGGTGTCTCCTGGGGTGGAAATCTTGCAAACAGGGTGTGGGTGGTGAGGAGCATCCCCTGCTCTTGGGGAGAAGAGAGACGGGGTGGTGCCGGGTCCCAGCGGAGGGGCTGGGGCTGGCGGCAGGGCGGCATCGCTGCCATGTCCCGGGGAGGTGCAGAAGCTACAGGGTGATGCCAAGGGGCACAAGGGGTTGGAGCTGGGCCAGGAGCGTTTCATGTCTTTCTCACCCAAAACTCATGTGTTTGGTTTAGGTCTTTAACTTATTCCCGATGTTTTCTGAAGACAGATATCCTTTTGAAGTTGAAGAATCTTATTCACCTCACTGTTGGATAAACAGGTTCCCAAACGTGCCAGCAGGTCTTCCACCCATTAACTGTTATGATGGGCCGGGGAACAGCTGGACAAAATGCCGCCACAGCCTGGGGCGCAGGGAGGTACCGGTGTCTGACATCCAGCCAGACTCCGACAGCCTGGTTCAGGTACGACCCCCTGGTTCAGCCCTCCCTCACGCTCCTCTTCCTCCCACGAAGGAATACTCGGGGTGCTGAGGGCACCCAGTCCCTCACCCAGCACACATCTGCACTCGCGAACCGTGCTCTTACATCGCCCAAATAACATGCCCTGCCCCTCGCTTCGCCAGCCTGCGACAGACACGTCAAATGTGTCCGTCAGTCCCGGCACAGCGGCATTTCACGGGAAGCTCTGCCCTTCCCATCACAAATCTGGGCTTGGAGGAAACAGCACAGACTGGCCTGGCATTCCCCTGCTTTTTTGGGGAGTGTGCGTCTCCCATCAGCAGCAAACCCAGGGGTCGGGGCTCTTTGGGAATGGAGCGGGCAGAGCGGATCCACCAGATCTTTCCCACCTGTCCCTGGTGCAGCAGCTTCCCCTGGCACAGATATTCCTCTCCTGCGCTCCCTTTGCAACGTGGCACGGGGTCCTGACCTTTGGGAGCTCTGTTCTGGCATGGGGCTTTAAGCACAGGTTGATTCCTTGCTTCAGAGAGGGATGGAAGAGTGTTTCGGTATTTCTGCCCCTCAGCACTGTGCTATTCTCTCATGTGTCGTGTTTCAGGATGCAGATTTGAAAACTGTCACCAACACTCAGCTGGGCTGCGCATCCATCATCCGGTTCCAGAAAAAACGATACCCTTTATACCTCCCAGGTGAGCAGAGAGGGTCTGTAAGAGCCGTCATGGTGGCTGCAGAAGGACGGGTGGGGATGTCCTGCCTCCTTCCATCCTTCCTGGCAGCACGTTCAAGTTGTGCCCCTGTTTGCAGGAGCAGGACTGGGGGAGGATAAGCAGGCAGGTGGTGTCGTGCAGGACACAGGGACGCAGATGGATTTCGTGGGGGCGTGGCTGTGGGACCTGGTCCCTGTGGGGTGAGTGAGGAGTCCCAGCAGACCAGGGGACTGCCCTTATTGCATCAGCTTCATCTGTGGGTGCAGCACCCAGACCTTGGGTTCAGTGTCCGTGTACCCAGGAGTGACACTGAGGCATGTCCAGCCCCTTCCCTTGGACAGACCCTTGGAGAGATCGGGGCAGACCGAGTCCTGTGGGCAGGGGATGCCATAAGAGCACTGATGGTACCTCTGCCCATCCCCAAGCGTGTGATGGCCACCGATGGTCCCCAGGACCTAGAGGAAGCGGGTTGGCATGCTCCTTCTCCTGGTTCTGCCCATCAGACGCAGTCTGTGAGATCTGTCCATCTTCTACTGCCCTGCAGGGAGGAGGGCTCCGCAGAAATGGCAGTGACGGTGCCTGATGCCATCACCAAGTGGGAAGCCAGGATGTTCTGCATGTCCCCACTGGGCTTCGGGATGGCCCCTGCCACCACCCTCACGGCCTTCAAGCCCTTCTTCGTGGAGCTGGCGCTGCCCTACGCCGTGGTCCGTCACGAAGCCTTCACCCTCATGGCCACCATCTTCAACTCCCTGCGGCAGTGCCTACGGGTGAGTGGGGCTGGGGAGGGGGCCCTGGGGCTGGGGTCTGGCGGGGGCTGATGGAGCCGTGGCCGTGGGCTGGCAGGTCCCGGGGACACTCGCGGAGCAGAGCTGGAGGTGTTGGCAGGCATGGACCAGGGTGTGTACAGAGGCTGTGTCTGCGCGGATGAAGAGAGGACCTTCCAGTGGAGCATTCGAGCCACCAGCGCAGGTACGGAGGGGACGGCAAAGTGCTGGGGAGGGGGGAGGTGACCCCAGTGGTGAGACTCCTTGCAAAACCCCTCTTCGTCACTGCTTTTCTGATCCTTTCCTCCCCCTCCCAGCTCCCTCTTCCCTCTCTCCCCTTTCCCTTCACTCTTCAGCCTCTTCCTTCCGTTTCCCGGTCCCACCGCACCCTCCTCCTTCCCTGGCTCCCCGGGATGGCTCTGAGCTGGAGCCAGCCCCCGAGGCAGTGTCACAGCGACGTCCCCCATCTGCCTCCGCAGGGGAGGTGAACGTCACCGTCATCGCCAAGGCCCTGCACACCAAGAAGCTCTGCGGCACCGAGATGCCGGTGGTGCCCGCCCAGGGGCACACTGACACCGAGACGAAACCCCTGAGGGTGCAGGTGAGCAGAGGGAGGTGGTGGGCTTGCACCGTCCTCGCGCTGGGAGCAGAGCTGCACCCAAAGCAGTCACCCCCGGAGCGGCACAGAGCATCTCCCCATCCCTCAGCCAGGCTGGATGGTGGCTGTGGGTGCCAGGAGAGCACCAGCACCCAGAGCAAGGGGAGAGCGTGTCCATGCTTAGGTACCATCGGTGGGATGGTGCCTTCCCTTCCCATTTGGGGTGAGATTGGTAGATCTGAGGCCGCTGACTGTGTGATGTTTGGTTTGCTCCCCTCATCACACCACGCGTGGGGCTGCTCCAAGGACCAGCTTGGCCCTGAGCACGTCAGAACCGATGGGCTGCTGGTGGGGATGGGGTCCAGGAGGGGTATGCGTTGGGGAAGGGGAGCATTTCAGGGACAGAGAAGGGCAGGCTGACTCTGATCCTGGTCTCATACACGCTGTATTCCTGGTTTTAAAGCCTCCAAAACTGATGTGAAGGGAAATTGCAGCTGCCTGGTTGTCCGCCTGCTCCTCACCCCATCACCAGCCATGGTCTCGAGGACTGGCACAGTCTCTTCCCATCCCTTCGTCCCCTTCGCCTGACCCGGCAGGAGCCTGCAGCAACGTGGTTGAGATGAGGACTCCGACACCCAGCCCCACTCCCCAGCAGCCCTGCCGGGCCAGGCGGGTCGGGGGCTCCCCGGGGAGCAGAGGCTTTGCTGCCCACCCTGGAGTCGTGGTTTCCCTTGAGCTGCTGCCAGTGCCATCCCTCGGAGAGTGGACCAGGGCAGGTGAGCTGAGCCCGGGCTGACAAAAAGCTTTGGGACATCAGTGCAAGACCGATGGCTGGGCATGGAGAGGATGCTCAGAGCTGTCCCAAGCACAGCCCTGCTCCCAATAAAAATAAAAGAAAATGCAAGTGAAAGTGGCAAAATGTTTTTCTTGCAAGCAAGCTCCCTTTCTTCAGGCTCTTTCCCACAATCCCTGACCAAAGCCAGCCCTGTGTCTCAAAACAGACTTTGCGTTCGGAGCTCAGCACTCCTGTCCCCCCGTAATGATGGGTCAGAGGGGCCGTACCGTCACTTTGCTGAATAAAAAAACTGAGACCAAAGCAGAGAGAGCGCTCATCGCACGGGCACCACGGCAGCAGAAGAAACAGCTTGACGTGGGGTCAGTGGTGCCTGGTCCAGAGGGGCCGGGGGGAACAACGTGCTCCGGCTCCTGCTCCGAAGTCACCAGCAGCACCATATGACAAATCCTCCGTGCGATATTTCCCCTCGGCGGCCCCACAGGCACCGATCGCAGAGGCAAATCGA